TCTGATTGTAATGTCATGAACTTTAACATTTAATATGTTAACTAAGGCTTGGAGAGTCTGAGATGTAGCTCTGAAGGTTTTTTGCAATTTCTCAGAGCACTGCACAATCTGACCTTTGGCTAAATTTGCATGCACATCCACTTCTTTGCTGTTATTTTTTTCAAAGTTTGCTTTTTCTTGTATTCACATTATATGTATCCATAATCATATTGGGCCTAGCGAATAGTGTGTGTATAGAAATGTTCTTAACCTGTCCAAGAAATAACTGTACAAGCGAAATTATCACTGGATTTATAAAATGTGTACACTGGTAAAGTTTGTTCTTACCACCATGCTTATGTTGGTCAGTCAGAATCAATCTAAATCAACAGGTAATCTAAGGAGCTTGGAAAGAAAAGCGACTGGACTTCTCTAAGTTTATTGAAGATGTTTTACCTCTCATCCAAGAAGCTTCTTCAATTCTAGGACCGAATGGTGGACAGTCCCAGGTATTTAAGCCCTAGTTGTTCCTTAAGAGAGTCGTTTACCCACTATTGATCATGTTCCTCATCACATGAGCCAAGATGTGAAAAAGGGTGTGGGTCATTGTCAGCAGAGGTTTCATGTGAAACCATTGTGAGGCCTTGTCTCATCATATCATGTGACCTATAGAGATCAACTGACACAAGGTGTGAGTGGGCGTTACAGCATCAGGGAAGGGGTCTCAAAACTGGACTGTAGGTGGCTGACAGTTGGTGTCGTAACCCACCGTCTCTGTTCAAAGATGGCCGTTCACAGTGGACATAAGCTGTGTCCCAAAACGTCGGCTGCATCCTTCGGAGGACCCGGCCTTTGCGGGGGTCTGAAAACGATGAAGCCGGGAGTCCGCTGCTCTCACCGGCTCGAGTGACCATTGAACCCCCGGCTTGCTATCGAGCTGGTGGGTAACAGATGTCTCAGAAAACGTTGGCGCACTTTGGCAAATATGCGATGTCTTGATAAACCAAGCAGATATTTGTAATTTACACAGCTACTTTCTGGCCTGAAAATATGTTAAAAGGTTATTTTGCGACCCAGAAAGATTAATAAGACAAATTTTAAAACTTAGCTGAAATTTGGCTGGGCTGCGCTATGAATTCTGGGATATTGTGGGCCACGAAGGACACACCCGACACATCCTTCAAATTCGGGGAAATGAAGGACGCATTTGTCGGCCGCATTCGAAGGAGTCGACGAATTGGGACAGCCTTCGTCGCCTGGCCGTGACGTAATCAGCCTTCAAATGCGGCCTCCGGAGGATGCAGCCGACGTTTTGGGACACAGCTATAGATAGCTTCTTTCCATTTGTCTTCTCAGTCCAAAATGTAGACACTGGCATCCTCAAAAGAGTGACCTTTGACCTTTAGATGCAAATGTACAGCTGTAGTGTTGTCCTGTCGAGGTGGCTCTTCTGTGTTGTGCCATGCGTTTATCAAGTGGCTGTTTGGTTTCTCCAATGTATGAGCACTCCTCGCTACACAAACCTGCTAAATAAGGAATGACAATGTTGTTGTGTTTGTCCTTCTGTTTCTCCCCAGCTGGTGTCTGACCTTCTTTGCTGATTTGATGAAAGCCCAATTAGGATAACTACATGTTTTAAGAGCTTTCTTTGCATTTGTGCGTTCCCTCTTTTTCTTTTCTGGTTTAGAGGGAACATTTTCTGCCCGGTGTTGTGGGGTCCTGATTACTCCAGGATTTTGTTCCAGAAGGTGGTGGGAGTCAAAGAGTAGGTACTGGCCCGTGTGTGGGGGGCTTCAGGTAAACTTCACACTGCACAGTCCAGAAATGACAAACTCTTATCCTTTGTATCTTCCCTGGTGAACTTTATGTTTCTATCCACAAAGTTGATGTGAACAGTGAAGGCTTCCACTTCTTGGGTTTTGATTTTGACCCAAGTGTCATCCACATATCTGTACCAGTGACTTTGAAGAAGCATAAATGAGTCCAGTTGCTTTTCTTTCCAAGCTCATTTGATTACCATGACCTGTATGACTGAGAACCTACACAGACTAAATCAACAGGCTTGTGACAATCTGGATAATTTCCATTCGTCTATATAATGAAACATGTTTACTTAAGTGGAAAAAACCATAAAGTTGTTGTATGAGCAGGAAATAGGAGAAAGTCTGGCTAAAGAGAAAAAAACAATAGTGTCTGAGAACAAAGCCAGAAAAATCACATCGCAGCTAATGACAGTGAGACCAGACTCATTTTGAAGTTGCATTGCCACAGATCAGCTTCATTTTTGTGGGATACAACTATCCAGGCTGTTTAAGGTGCAAGCAATGAGTGAAAAACACTGTTGGATCCTGAAGGAATGTGTTCTGTCGCTTGTATCAATTACATTAACTTAACAAATCAGATCAGATAGGCCCAGCAGCCCAAAGGAGGTAAAATGTCAAGCTGACTGTAAAGATGGGCTTAGGAAGAGTTTACCTCAGAGTCCTCAGTCCTCACTCCAAAATAAGAAGAAAAAGGGAAGGGAGGGGCGGGGGGATCACATGCAGGCCCCAGTCTCATTTCTATGGCAACCTGAATGCTATTATAGCACCTTGCCATTCATTATGAAAGGACTTCAGTTGGTGAGCAAAATGGGGTGGGGAGCGGGACAGATAGTGCAATGCTGCATTTTCCTTGCTCACAGCCAGAAAACAGGAGGAAAAGTAATAAACCTGTAAAAGCAAAAGCTGCAACACGCAGCATTGAGCTGAAAAGTTTACCATTAACGACAAAAACATGACTATTAATGCAAAACGGCCAGTGACTGAATGGGTGCTAAAAATTCCACCATGACTTGAATTGATATTTGTTTTGCAAATTGGGTTTAAAACCAGTAACTAAATAGTCTGAAAAGAAGCATCTCAAACCTAAAATAGGTCACAACAGCAAAGACAGTAATTATCATGGAGGATGCTGTTAGCGGCTTCAGGTGGAAATGTTCTCCATTTTGCCAGCTTCGTTGTCTTTTCATCTTTTTTTCTTCCGCTTTCAGAAGGGTCTACAGCATGTTGAAATGTGAAAAATGCTTTAACATATTAAAATGATCTTATTTATGTATATTTTAACCAAAATTACAATGTCAGTGATTTGGCTTGAAACTTTACTTTTTGATAAAACTTACAGTTAAGGCTGGTGCAGGTGACCCTGAATCCTCCCGTAACAAATAAGTAAACATGAAAGCAAACCACAAGTGAAAGTTGTCTCAGATGAGAGTCAAACTCTGCTTTCCTGGTCAAAGGTGAGGTGGATTTGTTTTTAGCAAATAGCACTACTCCTATATGTTGTTTCAGGGTTGTGTCAGATTTTAAAAAGAGCCGATATAATCGGTTTGACAGAGGACTTGTTGAGTAGTCAAGACCCTAGGAAGCAAACTGTGCTTTTCTAAAGCGCTGACGCATGTTGATGCACGTCGACACCTGAAATCAAGGCAGCAATGTCAATGATCCACAGTCTGCTCACTGCGTGAGACAGCTCGAAAAGTAGTGAGTAACAGGATCTTGATCATAGTTTAGATTTCTAAAGTACTAAACCAGCATTATCAAAGGAAAACACTGCTCACAAAATAAAATGTCTTATATAATATATTTAATCCATGATAATACATAGTTTATATAGTAATACCTTAAATATCCTTTGACTATTACTGCATGCAACGGTGATCCACAGGCTCAGCACATGGACACAATGACCACAGGCAAAATACAACATGAAGTAAATGTTATCATTTTAGGTTTCATTTTTAATGCTCTTAAATAGCAAAAATAGTTTTATTTTATTAATGCCATAAATGAAAACATAGTTACTCCTCACACCAGTTTGGTAAGTGGGGAACATTTTCCTTCCACTCAGGTGACCACAGTTCAAATAGCAGGATTTCACTGAACCACAAGCAAAAATACATCCTTTAGCCAAAGTTAGCAAAAACGATACCGAGCCCAAACTCTTTAAAGATAATTTGACTTGTTTAAACTCTACACGTAACTGAATACCGTGTGCTTGTGTAGGTCGTTAGTATAATCCATTAAGCCTACCTCAGTGTGGGGGAGCAAACTGCCCCTAATGAGTCCACATAAATAAAGTGCTAATGAAAGTGAAATAAGTCTAACTGCACTCAACAAATAGCCCACCTGCCATATCTCTGTTTGCAGGCACAGAAAGGTGGGCAAATGAGGCAGTTATTTGTGAAAGGACAATCTAAAGTAAGTCTTTACGATTCAGTAGGTTGCGAGTTTAGTTAAATACATTTCAGTTCTGGGAGCAGCGCTGCTGTTGCTAACTGTGAGAATACTTAGCGGGGTTAGTGTGACAGTGCATTAGCAGCCCGAGTCCATTCTCTGCGTCCCCAGAGAGACCAGAGCGGGCATATTAACATTCTCCTCAGAAGGGCCACAGGATCTGCCTTCAATGCCGTCTGACTCCAAACAAAAGACGGTGCGTGTGTGTGTGTGCGTGTTTGAGTGTGAGACGCAGACAGGCTGGGAGTGTGCATGTGTAACTGTGTGCAAGACGAGGAGACAAAAAGGAGGGAGAAAGAACAAGAGAAAACCGTCTATAGGAGGAGGAGGTAAGTTTCAGTATATATTTACCATTGCTGGGTGTCTATAGTTTAATAATGTAACCACACTGCGTGCTGCAAATCAATGTGCAAGGAATATTTTCTGGTAAACAAGTCCTCTTTTGAACTTGTTTCTTTTCTCCAAGTTTAAAAAGATCAATTTCCGTAACATCTACAAATGAAGGACAAAATTGAAGATATCGATATAATGACCTCGCTTATATTTATGTTTTATTTATTTTTAACCAATTATTAAATCCACAACATTCACAACAACCTCTCAGACTCTTAAGCTTTTCTTTATTTTTTATTTTTGAGCAAAACTTTATATATATGTATATATGTATATATGTATATATATATATATATATATATATATATATATATATATATATATATATATATATATATATATATATATATATATATATATATAAAAAACTAGAATTAGTTGCTATGCAAACTGTAACCAGGTGAATCATAAGCAACACCTCTTACTCATATACCGTTTCTATTTTTATTTAGGCACTTGTGTTTATGTAATGTTTTTTGATGTCTGTTTTTTTCAAACCTGGAACATGTATTGCTTTTATATACAAGCTGTAATATGTGAGTGGGCTTCCTTAAATTTAATTACATGGTATATGCCGGCGATGGTTTCTGGCATCATCGCTTCATACAGTACCCAGTACCAACTGTAGGCCACTGACTTCCTATGCATAACTCAAACATCTGGCCTTCATCACTCAGTGCCTGAAATCTTTCTGCATTCCATGTGCAAACTGCACCATGTCATGCAATCTATGTCTACTCTGCTGCTGTGAAGATAATTCACTGCAGTCTACCAGGAAAGACTAGTCTCTTCTCTTATTCATGACTGCAATATGTAAGTAATGCAGCAAATCACTAGCTTTGCAGTTGTTTAATCGCAAGCCAAAATACTGGAACACAGGACACTTTAAAAAAAAAATGCAGACAGGTACACTGAAGGATATGAATATCGGCACAAACTTTAATGGAAATCCATCCAGTATTTGGTGACTTATGAATTTTAAAACCACATACACCTGTACATCATTGTGCTGGTAGCACTAGAGGAGAAAGTTAGGGATTGCCTGCAGATGCATCTTCTGGGAGAACAATGAATGTCAAAACCTTTTGGTTTTTGGTTGGTTCCTCACTGAAAATGAGGAAACATTTTATTCTGGGAGAAACAAAGTCTCAAGTATGGGTCCTCTGGGTAAGGAAATGGCACTTGTTAGCAGATTATCCTGTTTTCCAAAGATTTTGCATTTATTTCTGAAGGAGCAATTAAATGTGAACAACTGACAAAGGACGTTTGTGATTTTTACTTTATTTACTTTTGACAGCTGTGCATTATATATATGTAACAAGAAGGTGGGCCCAGATACACCTGTAACTCTTTTTAAGAAGTCATGCTTTGACAGAAAAAGAAGAAGAATGAATAGTTCATGTCACGTGCACAAACCTTGGGATTCTACACTCATTCCCAGCTGGGATTTACATACTTTTTGGACTGCAATTCTGGGAAATGGTGTAACGGATTCCAGGACAGTTGATATGGAATAATAAAGAATGCAACATCTTTGCATTCGACACTCAGTAAGTATGCTCCACAAACTCTCCACTGAAGGCTGAACTGCTTCTATTTATACTACAAATGGGGAAAAAAAGAACAAATGAGGCGCTCATTGTTGACCCTGAATGATCAACGTCCTCCGCTCTTGTCCAAAAAGAAATTCTTCCAATTGTTAACTGCTTACGTCATTACTCAAGCCGGAGAGTTGAGGGCTTTATTTCTGTTAACTGGATCATAAAAACATAGCAGGACAACTCCCAGGCTGATGAAGGCTCACTTTGGATTATAATGAATTATTTCATTGGACAGGCTCTCTGAACTTGTATTGTGATGTTCCAGTATGGAGCTTACCTTCCAGTAAGAAATTCATATTTGCTCTTATGTGCTTTCTGCATAAATTGGACTTTTTGACAGTGAATAATTCCTCTAAATGGGATTTAATCATGCAGCCATTCTTAGCTGATGGACTGCAAGTGTTCTGTATTAGCCACGTGATAGACTGGTAGTGAGTCCACAGTATATCCTGCATTTTGCCTAAAGATGACTTGGACGGACGGATTTAAAATGCAGCAATATTGCTTCGGTATTGTTTCAGCGATCTGCTCTGAAGTCTCTGAAACTCCAACTGAATTTGAAATTTTAAACTAGATTAATAACATTCATGAAAACTATCAGTTGACTATTGTTTGCTTTTAATCATCAATTCAAAGTTAACTCTGCGTGAGACCTGGTAGCTCGATAAACTACGAATTCTTTGCTCTCTACGTAATACGCTGTTACTTGGTGTTTCTAATGATTCCGTCCTTACACAATGAGGACAACAAGCAATGTCAGCATTGATTATAGTCAACCATGATGCAGACGATTTAACTTTCTCGGCCAATCTCAGTCTGACTGAGTATGAATTTCACTCCCTGATAACAAGACGCGTAAACAAACAACTGCAGAAACGCAGAAGCATTAATATCCGAAGGTTTCAGAAATCAGACTGCCCGCAAATGATTCCTGACAAAGTATTAAAAGTACAAATTTTAGACGATTGGCATTTATAGGCCACACGTGTTCAGACAGCTCATCTGCCATCGAGAGCAACTAGGGGTTCAGTGTCCTGCCCAAACCTGCTCCACCACCTGCTCCACCACCTGAGCTCTCTGAATAGGCCAGAACTGCTGGTTCTGTAACTGAAACTGCCCCCAACTTATAACGAGCGTTCGTTCGACTGCATTTAAGCACCTAAAGATGGCGGACTGTGTATAAAAGTGGCCAAAATTATTCAACGTCATATTTCTGTCCAATATTTAAAGTATGAACGTTAATTGCATCTTGATCATTTCTATCTCATTCTAATTGTACCCTGTATTTCATAGGAATATCAGCAGTGATTTAAACTCTTCTTCTTTTTTACATTTTCTTCCTTGTTATACATAATAAATATTACTGTGATTTGCATACCTCTTGTAACCCGCTGTCCCACTCAGCTGGTGGGGCAAAGGGTGATCTTCACTGACCTGATGAAGGTAATCATAAGATAAAGGCTGAGAGCATTTTAACCCTGAAGCAAAGCAGCCTTTGACCTTATAAATACAGTATCACTGCAAAGCTACAGTACATGCATACCCAGAAGCAAGTAAAGTAAAACTGGCAACCTCCGATGCATGGATGTATTCTCCAGGGACAGCTTGTTTTCTTCACCGTCTTTATGATTTCATTAGCATGGTGTCTTCTTGGCATATAGTCTTAGAGGATTGAAGACCTTCTGAACTCACTGCTGTATCACTCTGGCCTCCACCTACACACTTCCACTTGTTTTGCACCAAAGCACAGTTAAATGCAGGAATAAGATTTCCATAAGCTGGAATATACTTGCTGTGTTTGTATCCCGCTCTCCTTCTAATGCCCATGTTTTAACCTCATACTGTGAGTACAACAAAAATAATTCAAGGTAGAGTGCACACTTTTTAAATTATTTATGACTTCACTGTAACTTATTTATATTTGCTGGAAAATTATCTATTAGTTAATCTAATTGCGTTGAGACATGTGAAAGTCGTGTCCTCTGAGTCATTCTGAGCATGTGCAAAGCCTGCTCTCTGCACATATGGTTAAACAGCACAGTTTCTGCCAAACAGAATTAGGAAGACTTTCTTACCGATGCTTGATTCCTCTCTTTCTCTCTCACTCCCCTCCTTTCTCTTTCCCACCCTCTCTTTACAGCACACAAGCTCACAAAGATAGCATATACAGTATATGTGCTCAGGCATATGGGCTCTGGAGAGAAATATATACACAGAATAAGGGACAGATTGTGGTTATTGATTTTCTTCGACGGGAGCAATTTTCTTAAATCCTGCGAAGAAGACATGCCACTTTGAATCATTTGTAAATTTGTAAAATAACATTTCACTTATTTTTACTTGTTTTAATGGTGTACGGCATGTCAAGTCCTTAGCTAAATCTACATCGGGCATAGTGTGTATTACAATGGTACAGATCTTACTGATGGTTTGAGAGATGCTGACAACACCGTCTGCAGCATCCAATCTGTGGCAGCTATTAAAGAAACACCCAGATAAAAGTTCCAGGTGCTTCTGTGCAGCAACGACATGCGTCCGGTAGCTGGTGCGCAGCACTGCGTTGTGACAAAGCTGCGCACAAACAGGAGTGGCATGGAAACAACCGCAGGCTGAGTTTGATGATTTGGTTTGAGTGCAGCAAAGGCAGGCAGACCAGTAGCACAGGCAGTAACAAGATGGCGGCGGTGTGCAGCAGCGAGTGTAGCAAGCTCTGTCCAGGGAGAGAAGAGACAGAAAGACATAAGCGTAACCTACTCAGGGCACGTAAGTGAAAAGTATAACAGTGATTTGGAGCCAGCCTGTTCCACAGGGTGGGGTGGGGCGGGCAGAGCGGCACCAGCACCTACAGGAGCACTCATAGGTAGAGGGGGGTGCGAGAACAATGGAATGGCTGCCTCCCAGACAGAGCTGCCGTACTGCAGTGATGAAGGAACAGGAAGAGGGGGGGGGAGAGGAATGGCACAGGAGGTAGACACACCTGCTCCTGCTGCTGTTGGAGCAGCTAGTGTAACAACCAGCAGACAAAGAGTAAGCTGAATTCAAGTCCTGCCTCTCATCTAGCGATCAGAGGGCATCTCAGGACTCAGAGTGCAGCAGTGAGGTCACAGCGTAAGGGGTGAGAGCAGGAAATGGCTGGTGAAGAAAGATATAGAGCTGATACATCTGCAGTTCCCAACATATACTAATAACTCACATTAGACACGTTTATTCACATATTTAGAGATAAAAAAAAGTTTTTAAAAAAACTCTAAATTGATGAGATTTAAAGAGTTTTACAGTACAGTAAGTGCACAGTGTATGGTTTTGTAACTTACAGTATCAGCTCTTTATTCAGCACCTTTAAATCCACATAAACCTCAGGGAACTGTTACCTGCTGCTTCACTAAATCACTATCGATCCAATTATCAATAGTATTGATACCAGTATCGATGCTATTGCGCTGGTATTGGTATTGATCTGATACCAATACCAGCGCAATAGCATCGATACTCGTCTCTATCCTCTACGTTCTCTACGTAGCCCGCTAAATTGTGTTAAAGAAATAATTTCTTTAGAAATATATACCTCAAACATGCACTATGAAAAATGTGGGAACCTTTTTTGTTGACTGTCATATCTATTTTATTTAGAGCCTAAAACACATTTAAACAACAGAGGTTGACGCTTCAGGGTCTTCAAAAATTTCAGAATGCATGTGTTTTACTGCGTTGGATAATTATCGTGGAAAGTAAAAATCAGAGTTATTTAGTGGTCATTAAAATGCATTCAGAATTATCACATTGAGGATTCTTCTCATAAATGATGACACACTGCTCTCCCCTCCACAATCTGCCTTCATAGATTAAAAGTATTGGTACTGTTACCGGCAGTATGCGGCCTGTATTTATTTGGCGTTGGATCAGTACCAACATTTTCAGTATCGCACAGCACTACTGCTTTGATTAAATTATAATCATGCATAGAGGACTGGTTAAAAAACATGGTGTGCCTACAACTGTGGGTATACACCAATCGATACAGTGCATTACAGTTATATATATATATATATATCATATATATATATATATATATATTATATATATTATATATTTATATTATATATATATATATATATATATATATATATATATATTAATATATATATATTATATATATATATATGGCAGAAAACACTCAAACACTCTACAACTAGTCATCTTTCTTCCTTCCTTCTCGCCGCCTGTCTAAACTAATCTTCCTTTCCATGTTTGTGCTGAACAAGGTGAACACTGACACCATAACCTACTGCTGCAAATGCACTGCTCCATGCAGGAACCCCCACTAAACTGAGAAAAAAAATCACATTACCACATTTGCATTTAAAAAACAAAACCTGAAGAATAAACAGACTCCCAGGAAAAACACTTAAAAAGTTCATGTTTGCAGGGTTCTAAGAAACATCGAGATGTGATTGAAAAGTGAAAGGTGAAAGGTAACCAACCTTAAGACACATCCCTTTGAAAATTTGATCCTATTTCAGACTAGGAATTGATCTCCAAAGACTGGGACTGATAGACAAATAAACTCAACCGCACCTTTCAAATTCAAAAGACTTGAGCTCACCAGCAGAGTTGAGCAGAAACAAGTGTCAATATGTAGCACGCACACCTGAAATCTACTGAATGTGCTAAAATAGTTTGCTGATAGCAGAGCTACAGTCAAGGATAGATGTAGCACCCAGCATTATTATATAACATATTTTCACCAAAGCACCGTTAAATGTGGATTCACAGTGGAAAAAAAAGGGAGTCATTTAGTAACTGGTTTAAAGGTGAACCACATTTAGCTTCTACATGCTATGCAGGCATATACATAACATTTCCAGGTTGCTATAGCCCAAAGTAGCGGTCACAGCACACCTAGGACACGTATGTATGTGTATCTTATTGCAACTATACAATCTAGTCATCTACAGCACTTTCACTATTCAACTAGATTTTAAATGATGAAATCCTAAATAGCTGTGTACTATTTAAATGTCTTTTAGACTTGTAAAGAACAGAAAATTACTCAGTAGTTTTATATGCATAGAAATATCTTTTCAATGCCCTGAAAAGACATCTTTTCATCATTCTCTTTTCAACTAAGTTTGCATGTGAAGGAACGCTTTTCTAAGTGTCTTTTCTTTCCCTCTGACCTAAAGAAGCTACTCTTACCTTTCATGTTTTAAAGTTGTTGAGACATCTGTCAAAGTTGTTTTTTCTGCCCCTTTTCAATCAGTTCGTGCTGGGTGAGGTGTGATCATATTTGTACAGTTATATTTAGTCCAATGGACGTCCATCTAGGAATTAATTTGGATCAAATAGATGGACTAGATGCTCAAGCCTGATTTTCATTGATTGTTTTGGGGCTAAATGAAGGCCATGAGTGGCTGACCAGATGAGCTCAGAAAACAACGTCCATGTGCATCCAGTGTGTGGCGGGCATATTCTGTAGACACATGGGAAATCACAGTGTTGGGATAATACTGAGAATAAAAAGTGTTTTCTTATTCTAAACAAACTATTACAGCGAAAACGTCCTCAATATATGGAGCTGTCTGCAGCAGTGGATTCAAGTTAACAAAAGATAAAACATCTTCAAGAAATCAGCAAGTCAGATTTTACTCTACAGGGTAGTTAATTATTTATCAGCATGCTCTGCTTCTTTACCCTCATAGAAACTTGGCTAACTTGCATCACATGCTGCTTGCATCCTTACTTCCAGCTTCATCCTCACACAGTAAACTGAAACCAGGCAGAGGACAAAAGCGCTCAATAAGATATGAAGTGCGTGACAATGCAAATGAGTTGCACATTTACAGAAGTCATTGCTCATTAAGAGTGTTTGACCGCATAGTAAAAATGCCCGATTTAATGAATCTCAAAATTCCTCAAGGATGCTGTATGGACCAAAAAAAAAACAAAGGCTGCTGCTAGAGTCAGAAATGGTGAAACACAGCTTCAAATTAAGGTTCAGAAAAAGAATCGGAGCTCAAAGCTACCTGTCCTTCAAGCACATAATCACATCCCATCCACGCTAATGAAAGAATGAGGACAAAACATCAAACAGTATCCCGGTTCAAATGCTGCTGAAGCTCCCTGGAAAACTTGCAGCAACTTCACAGCGGGTGAGGAGGAGGAAGGAGATATGCAAAAGGGGGACATCCAAGTATGAATAAAAGGAGAGGAAGAACGAAGCCGTTACTGCGTTCGCCGATCGACTACGCAAACAGACGCACGTTTGTGCATATTTTGACACAAAGGATGTTAGTTATAGAAAACATATAACATAAGAGGACTGTATGTATGTAAGTCTCAGCAGTTTGACACCTGAAGTTGTCACGCATGCGTCAAAGCAGGGAGCAGTTCTGCCACACTCATCCTACTCTCCAATGATGCCCATTGAAACACAGAACAAACTATATAAAAGCCTTTTAGTGCACCTGAGAGCCGCTACAATTGTGCTTTCATCCATAGCTGATGAGGGGGTCACCTTATGACATGCACGCCAAGGTGTCTTACAATTCCCACTCGACTGTGTAATTCTGTTTTGCACCATTATCTTAACACTCGCTTGTAACAAGAAGAGAGAAAAAAACAGCGGGCCGAATGCATGTAAGGGTAGGTATCGATGATATAATAGAAAAAGGAAGACGATTATTTTCATGAGGTCAAACACAAGTGTACTGAGCTTTCAGAGTCACGCTCTCACTAGTACTTTGTGCTGCTCTCAAGATAAGGCATGAAGAGCCTGTGGATTGAGTAGTGGAAATAAAATACCCTAAAGCACTGACTTTCATTTTGCACTTTGCTGTGTGTTCAAGTTATGCTGTTTATATTATAATTTTCCTCCCCGCTGCGTATAAATTACATTTATTTTGTCAACATCATGTTTCTTTAAATGTATGACTATACGGTTTATGACGCAGGGTTAAACAGCGAGGTGCGGTTCTTGTGTGGTTTGTCTATGCTAGCATGTGCAACATTAGTCACTGAGGGTGTAACCTAACTCACAAATTCCTCATTCATTCATTGTACCAAGGATTTTGTAAATGTGGGTGTTTTCACCATGTCACCCCACCTCATCTGGACGTCCCTCCATCTCAGTCACATGCCCCTTATACCCACATTCCTCTATCTATACCACTCCCCCGCCCTCTCCCCCACCCAGTGCCCTGCACACTGTGCCTGCCTCTGGCTCTCAGACTCTCAATATCCTGAAAGAAACCCAATGTTCGTACTTTTCATTCCCTTCGCGCTTTATTTTTGCACTATTCGTGGATTAAATGAACCTTATGTCACCGTGTCTAGTTTTTATTAAAAATAAATAAATAAAAAGGCAAAACTGTTCCTTCTTCATCGTGCTTTGTGTCTTTCCGCCATGTTAAGCCTTTTCCTTTTTTTGTTCTGAGTTAGAGATGTGTGAGTGCCCCTCGCAGCTCCCAAGAACCCAACCCGTGCACATCACAGCAAAACGTCACAAGTTAGGGTCTCAGGGAATGAGAGAGGTACAGCTTGCTCTTTTTTTTTGGTCTGGCCTTTTCTGTGCAACGTACAGCAGATCATCTGCTGCACGAGCACTGTGGCTGAGACTGAAACAGCTCCCTCTATCCCTCGGTTTGTGCGGTGCTCTACCTTAAGTCTCAGTTTTGCCCCTTAAGTCGAGTCTGGTCTCGGTAAAATGCACAACCCCACCATGCGTTAGCATTTAGCTCATCCATGATCACATTTACAAACAAAATCGTTATATATGTGTCAAAAGATCGATATGCATCAGTAAGCACACGCTGAAAATGTAATATAAAACCTAACCATATATAATCTTATGATAACTGAACAGACTCATGCTGTGCACACTGTATTCTAGCCATACACACCCAATCAGAAGCACTTTACCATCACTAATCATAAGGATAGCTCTGCCTCCCTGTCACAACCTGACCAAACCTAGAATAATAATCTGTGTAAAACATCTCTAATTTTTTTTCCCAAACCCCGCACTGAGAACGCATACAGCAGCAGCAGCAGCAGCCAGATGACTACAGCAGCAGAGACTACAAATTGACGCCAGTGTCTCACGCTGATAAAAATACACCCTTAACACTAAAAAAGTCCAAGCTCCTTACCACTTACTCCCTCTATGCCAGTGAGATCTCGTGACATGCCAGGCTTGTCAGTCCTCTGAGACCGCACCTGTCAATCATGCCGCCTTGACTTTATGGAGGGAAAGCTCATTTGTCAGGTCGCAGAATAAAATCTGACTACCCACAAGATGAAGAGGAGGAGGAGGAGGAGGAATAAGAGGCTGGGAGGAGCGGTAAGATGAGATGCAAGGAAGGAGAAAAGAAAAAAGAAGAAAAAACTCACCCAGCTGACCGAGGTGGCGGAGGCTGCCGCAGTCTTCTCTGTACGCCTGTGCCGGTCAGCCTAGCAAAGGGAGAGAGGATGTAGCAGGGCACAAATCGGAGAGAGAGAGGGGAGAAAAAAATGAATGCTGGAGAGAAGAATAGAGGAAGATTTTAGTGCTGCTAGCTCAGGCTTTGTTGAATGGATAATTCGGGCTAGCACATGAGCCTGCTCTAGCAGATTGCTGCCGTCTAGCCGTCTGCTGCTCAGACATGCAAGACTGTACCATGTGCAGCCAGAGAGAGAGAAAGAGAAGGAGACAGAGACATGAAGGGAGAGATGGCAGGGAGGGCAGATGTTGGGTTAACGATTTAATGTAGGTGAACATGGGGGGGAAAAGAGAATAGAATAGAAAAGCAGTGAGGGTGACTGAGACAACAATACATTTAGTATTACAGGGGAAGGAAAAATGCACAATAATAAATCAAAAACAATCCATGAAAAAGAAACCAGCATAAGAATTGAAAAAATATTCTGTTTAGCTTGGGTCCAACAGTAAAAATCACAAAAACAAACAGCAAAACCACAGCCCAGTAATGTTACACGTATGCTGACTAATACAAGAGAATAAGAGCAAATGACAGGAAGCCATCCAGAAAGAGAAAAACAGGATTTTAGAGAGTGATAAAGTAATATTTTAACCCCCCAGACGTCTGATTTTTAACTAAAAAGAGCTCTACTGCACTAAAGCGCATATTCATCGCCCCGCACATTCAATAATGTACAATCTCAGCTTTCCCCAAAGCTTCCCCCATATGAGTCACAGCTTTACATGAGAAATCAAAAACAAGAAGGATTTTCAGGTTACCGTCAGAATTTGGCAGATCTGGTTAGTAGCTGTGAAAAAAAAAAAGACTGAGACACAGTGTGCCAAAACAGCGACAGGAGTGAATAATAGGAAAAAATGTGTAACGCCTGTTGCTGTAGTCCCTCTGCCTACTGCTGCTCAGCCCTTTCTCCATGTGACACTACTACCCATCTTTTTCTTCCTCTGTCTGTCTGTCTGTCTGTTCGTCTCTTGGCTTCATCTGTCTCATATTTTCTTTCTGTACTTGATTGGTGCTTTAGTCTCGCTGTATCACACCTCTCGGCCTGTGTCTGTGCCTCTGTATTTTCTTTCCCTCCTCTGCCTTCCATGCTTCATAGATTGCAGGCTCAAGTCCCCAAGGCTGAAAAACTGAAGAGCCTCTGCTTGCCCCTTTTTTTTCTGTTTGTTACATATAGAATCAAAACGGCAGTAGCAGTGTGGGAAAGGAACTAAATATCACCCATTCATTTCCCTCCCCACAGCTGAAATTACACAGACAAAAGGCCTAGTATATGGAGAAAGAGAGATAAGGGAAGGTAGAGAAATGAGGGAGAGAGACGTGAAGAGAACAAAAGCATACAGTAGCACAACGAGAAGGCAAAGACAGTCAAATAGGAATTCACAGTTTTATCTTACAATGTCTCTTTCAAGCTCCTTTTTCATTTAAGGCAAACAAAAAGAAAAATCCTGCTCCAGTAGCATGTCCAGTATTCTGTTCCTGTGTCTCTCGCCCTCTGTGTCTGTGAGTGACTGGGTATTACAGCGTGCGTTTCATGGAGAAAAGGAGGGTGGGAACAAGAGAAAAGGAGGGAGCAAGAGAGAGTGAACGCACCAGTTCAGGGAGCTTCAAAGGAAATGTAACTGGAAGCATTGTGGTGTGTGTGGTGGTCTTATATTTTATCAGTATTAGTCACTGTAAAGCAGTGGAAAAGGCTTGTAAAAAAAAGAGGGGGGGAAGACACGAGACAAGATGGTAGGAAAGCGAGACAAATGGGGAGCAGAGGGAATTACCAGGGTTCTTCTGACGGACAGCGCACAATAGGCTGAGATCAGTGACAGCAGAAAAATGGCCTGTGTGGTCTCAACACTATCGCCCCCCAACCCTTTCCCCCTGCTGGTTTAAATAGGTCATTCTTTTATTTTGAAGTCAATTTAAAAATAATAAATCAGGCAGACAGTTCTCACTTCTTCAGCTCTCATTTACATTTTGCTGTATTTCTCTCTGTATCATTAGAGCCTCATTCTTTTCTTTCTTCTTCTTCGTTTTTTTGAATCGAAAATTCACTTTTAAGGCATCTCTCCTTGCTCGCGGACATCACATGTCACGATGTCTGAAAGGCATCACGTGCGCTTCAGTGCGGCAAAGGGTCCCTTCATTTATGCTCAGTTTTACTTCCACCTTGTCTTCGCACACTAACACGACAAGAGTCAACCGGGACTATTTATAGAAATTTCCAAAGAAGACAAAAAACCTGCACAGATTCCACAGCGAGGGTGGGCCGTGTGTGCTGGGTGGGGGGTCAGTCAGGGAGAGCTCCTTTATGCCTCCTGCTGTATAATGTAATGCACTACCACATGGCAACAACAAACCACCGAGCACAGAAAGAAGTGTGAATACGCTTTTCTAGAAGAAGGGTGAGGGGGAGAAAAAAGTAAGCAAGGATAATTAGGCACAGTGAAAAACCCAACAGTCGATTCACGTTGTATCTACTGTAACTGAATGCTTGCGCTCTTGCAAAAGCTGCCCCGTACCAAGGGCCCCTTCTTCATTCTGGCCCAAAGAGCTCCTTACCCCACCTCTTTCGAACCCGGTGGCCTTAGGACAGAGAGCGTAGAGTTTAAGTGGAAACAGTCTTTCATCATCATGACACTCCCCGCACTACACATCTGTACACAGCAGCATACTGCACTACAGGAGTAGGATACCATCTCTAACCTAGCGGCGCTACATCCAGTGTCTAATGTATATTTACAGTTCAGGCTTAACAGATTACGTGCAAGTTAAATACTTTTATGGCAGGACAACTAAAAACTGCTTTTTACTCATAAAGATCCATATTTCCCCAAACAGTTAAAACAAATTAAATAACAACACTTTCATTAATTTCTTGTGTATGCATAGCTGGCAGCGTCTATTCCAACACCTTAAAGTGGGAGTTTAAAAAAATGTAGTATCCAACAGAGATCAAAAGTATGCAATGAAAATATGCCCGAAGAGCAGATATAGGTCACACGGTCTGAGACGAAGCCCGAGAAACTGAACACAGCCAAAATTAAGAAGTAATTCAGCGCATTTCTAAATTGCAGTCAGGAACCTAGATAATTTCAGGGGCCTGTGGTTTTCTTGGTTTGAAGCAGTGAAAGTTGTTACTGGCTGTTTTGATCACAGCAGTGTCTTTACCACATAGCTGCGCAGAGGAAGTATATCGTTTTGGTTAAGTGAAAGTGAACTTTGTGCATAATTGGCCGCCAAGACCTTGTTCTTCCCCTGCGGCTGTATGGTGTGTTTCCCTTCAGTGACATCTCCTTCATTAGAGCGTCCCGCAAACATCACTGCAGCAGCATGCTAGTGCTTTTCCTCATATTTTGAAATGATTTCTCTTTGCCCCCCCTCCCTAATCTGTGCTGTCATTGTTTCAACTTTGTTTTCCAAGTGTCAAACGAGATGCAGTGTTTGCCATGTTCATGCAAGTCTTTAGCAAAATATCTTTATCTCTTCCCATATCTGCTTAAAGGAGAAAACGAAAAACCCCAAAACAACACTTTGAATTAAACAGAAGAAATTTCAGTGTATTAAGAAACAGACACAAAACCACCTGACAGAGAAGCTGTGTTTACAACCAGGCGATAAAACTCTCATACACAAATATTGCACAGATGTTGGCATTTATGAAATAATCCATCAGTGTACAGATTGTGTGGTGTTTCCTCAGGGAAAGCTAGGAGGCTGTACAGTTATCTCCTGTGGTGTCACTCTGAACTATACAACCTACTACCTCAACCTGCGGAACACTGGAGGAAGCTGCAGCATGGCTGCCCTGTAGGGCCGGGCGAGCAGTTCAAAACTACCACAAGCAATGTAATTTTATTTTACCAGAAACTGAAGAAAAATTTCACCAGTAAGTCGTCCTCCTTACTTAACTGCAACACTGACGTAGAGGCCAAAGATAGTCTGTCATGTACAATGTTGTGACACATCGTCATTTAGCCCAACCCACAAATTTGGGTGGGGTCACTGCATCGAGGTGGCACACGTGGGATAAGTTTGGTAGAGAATATCCTGCATCCTAGGATACAGGGTCACGCAGGGTCAGTGCTGTTTAATTGTGGGAATCAAGGATTAAGAAATGCCACTCTTTATGGTTATCCAGTCAAAACCTGCTTCCAAAATAATTCCAGTGATCTAGTCGCCTTTCTTAAAAGCACTGGGCAGATGCTGTTTTTACCAGGAAGACACATACCTATAGATACGAGCTTGTGCAGCCAGTCACCACAAGTTCGGATCTACGGGTTCGTGGCAGCTGGCATTAACACTTTGAGAGCGGATAAGAAGCAGAGAAATCAACAAACATTTAAGCAGACAACTCATTCTACTGTCTGAAGCTTTCAGCTCCACTGATTCATCATAGCACTCCTCTTACTGGGTGTTCAAACCACAATGGACAACACTGTAACGCTGATAAGGCTCAACATGGCACAGCTTTCATTGCATGTAGGTCTTTCTGCAACTAAAATATGCATCAACATTAAAAAGTTTAGTCTATTTCACCGATATTTAAAGAATAAATCCACGCGTTGAGTATCAATCCTTTCATGTATTTTTCACTTCTTGTACTTCTTAAGATTGCTTCAGTGTGGGGATATACAATGTGTCCTTTTTAAGCATCTAATAGAGATGAGCGTGGAAATTAGGCCATGGTACACAGGACAGGCCGGGGCACATGACTGTAATAGATGCGGTGTTTGTGTGTTTACCCCACTGATCACATTCTTTTGAGGTATAATTTTGAAATGTCAGGATAGTATACTGTAAATAGTTTTACATCTGAACACAAGAACGCACATTTCGAGGAAATATTTTACTAAAGAAAATGAATTTGTACTGAATAAAAAGGCATATTTGCGCTGCACGAATTTTATGAAATATCACACTATGATTAAAATAAAAACAAGTACCACATCTCCAACAGAGCAGCAAAAGCAAATGCTACAACACATCCAGCACATGCAGTTATATATTCTTAAATAAGACAAAATAAAGACAAAATACAAATCACATTTAATCGCTCCGCTGCCAAATACAAAGTATTTTTTTTATTATAAAAATAAAAGTGATTCTTATTTGCAATGACCTAATAAATTAAATTCAATAATGCAATTCTCTGGACCTTAGAAAATTTTCTGGAGAGAAAACATAAAGCGAACACCATCGAAAAATAAGCAAAGTTTAAAAAAATAAAATAAAAATCACGCACGCGTCACATTGTGTGGGTTAGACCCTATTTTGAACCGCTTCCACAAAAAGAAAACTGTAAGTTTCGTAAATCGCCAACATACCAGTAAGGCATAAGCTGGACCTGGTGGTCAAACGTCCTCTACACTCAGATGAAGTCAGGCTCGAAGAGAAGTGTAGGCCAACGCTTTAGGAGAAATCAAGAAACCTAAAATAAAAATGTAAAAAAAACCCAAAACAAAACAACAACAAAAAAAGCAGAATGTAAATCATCAGAAACTGATTGGGAACAGAGCAGCAAGTCTAACATTCACAGGGAGTATACACCCGTTCACACACATTCCCAAAACCACACAAACACGTGGTGATCCAAGCACACCCTTAAAAACACAAACGACTAAAAACTATAAGAAGCACAACAATAATAACACTAATAGCAGAAAAAAAACGCTAAATCACAACCGAAAGTAAGAAGAAAACATCCCCTTGTTCTCTCCTAGTTACGCACTCATAACCCGTTGTCCAGTCCCCATTTTCCGGGGTACAAAAACCTCAAATCGGCTTTAAAAAAAAAGGTACGGCAAGAGAGAAATGGCAAAAGGTTGAATGCGGTAAGATGTGGATGAGGAGGAGTGGCAGCGCAGGGCTGGCTACAGAGAAAGTGGAATTTCTGACCAAGCAAAGGAAAGGGTGGTGTTTTCTTTTTTTTTTTTTTGGTGCTTCATTCTGCTTGGCTTTTTTGGATCCCAGCAGGATCCTTGGCTGCTGCTCTGTCTCTTCTTAGCGCTGCCAAAATATGGACATATCCCTTTGTCTTGAACTCTGTTACATAAAAAAAAAATCAAATTGAGAGATGAGAAAACATGACTTTAAAAAAGAAAAGAGGGATTGGACCGGCCACCAAAACTACAGCGCAAGTTATTAAAGAAAAGGAAACAGCATGAGTGAAAAGTGCACAGCAAGGAGGAGAGAGGCTTAGCAGCTGAATTCAAGGGAAACGAAAAAAAAAAAGGAAAAATTCATTAAAAAATAAAAAGTCGAGATGGAAGGGTTTTGTTTTCGCGTCAGAATTTTTTCTCTGCAAACATAATATCTCCCAAAGTGCAAGCTGCAAAGTGTGTCTTCTCTGCTGCTACAAACACAGCAGCCGAAACCTTTCTAAAGCTATGCCACGTAGTGAGAGAGGGAGAGAGAAAGCAGCCACTTTTTGCTCTCTCCAAAATGGCTGAGGGCCGGGAGAAAGCGGCTATGAGCAGAGAGGAAGAGAGGTGCTCCCCGTCCTGCACAGGGGTGGGCTGGGCGATTCAGCGAGCATCTCTCCCTCGTTTCCCTCTCCTCACTCGTGCCCTTTGTCCCGTTAGCCGTCTTTCACACCGGACGAATGGCGTACAGCTGTGTTGTCGGTCCATTGGAAACTCTTTTCGGGCCACCGTGGGGAGGGGAAAGCTACAACTGTAAATGAGTGAGGTTCATGTGGTTTACTGTTCGTCGTGCACATGCTCGAATCCTGATGCTCTGCAAGTTGTTGCTGTTTTTTTGTTGTTGCTGTTTTTAAAAAAAATGCTCTCAGATGCCTCACAGGACAGGTGACTTTTGCTCAACCACTATATAATTTCTATTTTAAAAATATGTGCATATCAATAATGGATATTTTATTATATTACATAAATTCAGTGTTTTTAAAAACAAAATGTAATCTTGTGCTATATTCTCACTTTTATCGTCTTGAATCCCAAATTTCAAATAAAAACATCACTGATTATGTTGAACAGTCTCCTCTCGTGACTATTTGAACTCAGCACCACTCTTGACGTCACAACAGTACAGTAGTTAAACAGCATGGCTGCTGCAGTCGGTAGTACTACATTTACATTTGGGTATTTCTAGTGGAGTATCTGAAGGCTGTTTACTGGCTGCTTGCAGTCACGATGCATAAAAAGCACTACCTATCTGATATAAAGCCAAAATTCTACTAGAAACATTCAAAAGGGCAAGGGATTTTATTTTCCAGACATCATATTTAATAACCAAATTAGTAAAGATGCTGCAGTTACTTTAGTGAAGCCATCTGAAATTTTTCCGGGTTAAATCTATACACTTGTTTTTATCACTCACAGCAATAAGGTTTTTCTCTCATGCGTCTGAGCAGATGCGCGTCTACATTTGTTTTACACAAATCACTAATCATACACATAATATACCCAACATAAATCTGAGGGACTGACCTCCCAGTGAGGTCATCTTCACCAGCACTGGAAGAACCATTTCAGATTTTAAAATGGCTGCCTCACATTCTTGCTGACTGGAAGCGTGTTCAGTGAAGCTCATACCAATAAGCAACCACCCAACCAAAGTTTCCTAAAGCAAGAGATCAGAAAAACAGCAAGATGCTGCTGTATCTGACCCTGACCTCTGCAGAATAAGCTCATTTAAAAGCAAAATTTAATCTGGTAAAAACTGCACAGAAAGCCTGAGTATGCGGCATTCTTAAAAAAAACAACAACTAACACACACACACACACACACACACGGATCCCCTCCATGCATATCAGCTTGTTAGTGTTATGAAAAAGGACAAATGTTGGGTTCAGGATATTAACTGCCCTGGATACTAGTTTTGCCACAGCATGCCAATGGGCTGCTGTCTGCTCCATGGTCACCACTTGAATCTAAATGAACAGATTTGACTTTCAGGATATTGCCAAGAACCCTGTCACGGTGCCGACACAGAGAAGGGCCTCTCCAAAAACAGAAGGTTGGAGAAAACAGAGCGACCGACATGGGCATAACCCCAAACCTCTAACAAGGTAACCCCTTAAAGCCACTCTCAGAGCCTGGGAAAGTGGGGAAGAGAAAGAGGGCTGCCAACAATAGGCAAAAAATCATTACCAACATTTTTCATATGGTAACATTATGTCAGTGAATGCAGTGACAAGTGCGCTGCATAATCCAGGTCTTAGACACATAGATTAAAACTGGATTTCATTGTTTTAATTAGATTTTGTGACCTTTTAACTGACTCCTTACAATACGTGCCCTTATTATTGTCCTGCTGCACCGGTCTGTCGGTAGCCTCTTTGGATGCTGTACATCCAACCAACTTGTATTTTCCACCCCAGGAGTGAGGCTTTTATTAATACATAATGACCTTTTTTAACACTCTACTATAATGGCATGCTAGGTATAGCTCTTGATATCCACTGGGCTTAAAACACCATTCAGCATTATAATTGGGGTGTTACTACTGAACCTGTAGGATTGTTGAATCAAAACTTCACACTGGTTTTCTATTCTGTACTTTTACTGCATTGTGCATTTTTTTAAGACAGGCCCTTAACAGGCTGCTGGAGTTTAATCTCATTATGAGCTTAAAGTATGTAAAATACCTTAAAATGCATGAATATTTACACATCACAGGGGGTATTTATTACTCAGATCACTCAGGATCATGATGCACTGTTTAAACTGTTATTGCATCCATGTTGTAAAGCCACAGCATTTTTAAGATAAGCTGTAATATTTTTATTTGGAAAGAATGTGCTGATAAGAACACTGAGACATGAACAATACCACTGCTTCCTTTGAATTCATTACATCAGTAGACTGAAATGTAAACACGAAACTATTCTGGGCTTAATACATTATTTATAATATGTTTAACCCATTCAAATGTTTAAAGGGACAGAATTATATACTGTGTATTTTGCAAATATTGATATGTGGAAGATTACAGGAAAGGCAACATCAATAGTTCACTCTCACTTGTTTTATTACTTCATTGGTAAATGTCTAATCATGTTAAGGCTATGATTCACAGTTGAGTCATAGCTGCGTCTGTGATAAAGAAGTTTCTACAAGAACCTATATATCACCCTAAGTTACTCCTGTTACTGGCACTAAGTGACTTCTTGGCAGCTAGTGCTTCCCACAGTAAAAGGATGGTCCAGTGATGTCAGCCATGATTCTTGTCTTGTCTAATAGCATTATACATAATAATGATCATTTCATGAGTACCTAAAAATAAAAAAGTATAATGGGTGATTTTAATTTTTTGGGTATAGCAGTCAAAATATAAAATAACCGCCCACTCCAAATGTATTTTCTCATGAACTTCCACAAACGTGCAGTAACACCTGTGAAATCCACCAGAGTTTAGGGTTCAGGCTGAGATTTTAGGTCAAATCTATATATAAAAGTGAAATAAAAACAATGTTGTGTAGGATTTATAATTTGGTTTGGTATAATTGTTAAATAATGTTACAGAACATACTAAGCTTACTCAAGTACATACATTCATGCAAATATCATGTTTTGAGCCCCCCAAATGTTGTCTTTTTTGGAAAATTATTGCTGGTTGAGTCAAATAAAAGCAGATAAGGGCATTAGATACACAAGAGGAAGTTAATAAAAGTTAATAAAATAGCTTAATGATTAAAGATGTGCAGACGATTAAGTAATTCCTCATAATTTTCATAATTAAAGTGTTTTATATGACAGTTTTTTCGACATTTGCTTTACTTAGTACCCACAAAAATTAACTGTTCGTTCTCTGCTTTTGTGCCTGTATTTTTATTGTTTTTCATCTTTGAAAAAAATAAAACTTGAAGATATTTAGCAATAACTCTACTTAACATCACTAGGATGCATATTTCAGGTGTCCGTGAGGACGGCCTTCATGGCGAATTCATCCCCATAATCAACCCAGTGCAGCAGGATGAATGTGGAAAAGACGCACTCATGCAGGAGAGAGCAGGATAAAGAACCAGTGGGATACATGAGACAGCAGCAACATATATTTTTTTTCCTATATTTTTTCATTCACACTCGTACATCTTTGCTTCTGAATGTTGCAGTCCAATTTTTATATCTTTTCCCCCTTTCATCTCACCCATTTCTTTCAATTGCTTGTCCCTCACTGTTCCCTCCTCTCGCTTCTCCCATCAAATATTCTGCTCACGCACAACTGCGGCACCCTTTCTCCAGTCCTCCCCATTAATCCACACCACAGACATCTTGGCCCACTGTCTCGTCTCTCTGTCAATGTGCACTCAAAAGTCTCAAAGTCTGGGCCATTTCAGCAGAGAGTGCCTGGCCGTTTTTCGCAGGCTATGAGGCCTACTGTTGAGCATGCTTTTCTACTGTACAGGGTGTACCGTGCAGACAGGACATCAAGCACTCCCCCTCTCTAAATATGCTAGAAAATGAAGA